CATGGGTTTCCTCCTGCCTTTTATAAATGCTACTAGGGATTCTTACTCTTCTGACCAGACAGCGATGTTCAGACAATCAGGAAATTCTCACAGGTCTTTCCTAAGACACTGGAAATTAATCTCACGTGCAACCCTTCCTTAAACCTAACAAGTGGTGGAGTCACCTCAAGAAAGAGTACAGCGAAAGAAAAGGGCTCAAGCATGGTGCATCAGGTCAGTCCCTGTCCAGCCTCCACGGCACTCCCCCTGCAAACGCTGAGGAGGCGAAGGAATAAGGAAGGACAAGAGGGTGCTGTTGTTTCTCCTGTGCATCCCACATGTGGAGGAAAAGCTCTCCTAGCACTCCAGCAACAGGTCCTCCAAAAGTTGTTTCCTTGTATCTTTATCCACCACAGACAGAAACAATGTGGAACATTTTCTTACCCCGGTGTTCATAATGCTTCAGATCATCAAAAACGAAACCACTAGTAACCACTAAAGCACCAGTGACACACAGTATCAAAGGGTGCTACCCAAAGGACCTGAGAGGAACTGGATTCTCATCTCTTGGTTGGAAGAGGAATGAGGTCACACAAGCGTCACGAGGAATGAAGATGGCAAAAGCAAAGCAGGACGGTGGGCAATGCTAACAACTCTGGACAGCGTCTACCACCCTCACATGGTGCCATGACGGCAGTGTTGCCAGCACGCTCTGATTCTGTGTGGAAGTCAGTGTCAGAATGCAGGCTGTTACTTTTGTTTCCAGGTGAGGACCTCAGCAGGATAAGAAGCAGCTCTCAATCCCAATCTACATTCTCTTTGGGATTCTGGGAACTCCAACTCTCCCTTTTCACAAGCTGTTCCCTGTGAGCTTCTGCCACAGAGAGGGCTGCCAGTCAGAGGGAGGCTGGGGGCGGGGCAGAGGGAGGCTGTAGGATGAGCTTCTGGTCCTATCCCCATTTCAGCAGTTGGCTTGAGCCTTTGATGGTTGTGCACCTCCAGAAACAAGACTCAAGCTCTAGCCATGAACTTGTATAACTCGGAGAACCCAGTGTCAGCTACTCCAGCTCTAGCATCTGAATGTCTGCTCCCCTCCGTCACTACTCCTTTCCCTTTTGTTCTTTAACCTCTCAAATCCACGGATTCTCCACATTCAAAGAGCCTGGCTCTGAGGGCCTAGTGTATGCACTGTGGGACCAGCTAGACCTGACAGCCATGAGACCTAATCAAGGCTGGGAAGTGAAGAGTTTTTTCTATCACACACAGAATGTATAGGATGCTCACACAGACCAGGCACTGTTTCTAGGGCCACGGGAGATGTGATTTCTTTTTTTCCCCCCTTATGAGGCAGGGTTTCACTATGTAGCTCTGGCTGTCCTGGAACTCATTATGTAGACCAGGCTGACCTCAAACTCCCAGAGCTCCACCTCCCCAGTGCTGAGAGCGCTTTTCTCTTCAGGTGTGATTCTTTTTAACGTATGAAGTGAATGAGTAAGGTGGCTGCTATTATCATCTCTGGGTTAGCAATGAGAAAAATTTTAAAGTGTGTTCAGGGCAGGCAAGATGGCTCAGTGGGTAAAGGAACTTGCTGCCAAACAGACAACCTGAGTCAAGAACCCTAGTGCTACATGGAAGAAGGAAAGAACTGGCTCCAACTGCCACATGCATGCCATGGTGTGTGTGTGTGTGTGCGTGTGTGTGTGCGTGTGCGTGTGTGTGCGTGCGTGCGTGTGTGTGTACATATGTATGTAAAAACCCTGTTCAGAAAATAAAGTCACGGTGATAGGCCGAAATTTAAGTCTCCCTACAAACTGTCACACTTCCTGTACACTGTTCCACTGAGCTTGTACAGTGCTCACAGCTCACTTCAGGCATGTGTACAAGTCATGTTCTAGAAATCTCCTTCCTTTTGTCAGCTCACTGGTTGTCTAACAAAACAGCATGCTTATGCCATGAATGGCCTCATACCACAGGCTTGGTCATCATGTAATCTATACCCCATTATCCGTATTTCTTGCAAAATGTAATTAAAGCAGAATGTAGTCAAATCTCTTTTTTAGGAAGGAATATTTTGTCTGGGCAATGCATTTCCTTCATCCAGTCATGAGTCACACAATGTCTGGCTGTTCTACTCTCTGTGATCCTAAGATTAATCAGTGGAATAAAAGTCTAATCCTTCCATTATAATGGAATCTGGACTGTAAGTGCACAATTATCACTGTCTACTGTAAGGCTTTGGCACAAGACAGTCAGAAAACCCAGGGTGCACAGACGCAGATATACAAAATGACCTTTCCCAAAGAGGGGAATAAAAGGTGCTACACAAGCCTTCAGAGAAAGGAACTGCCCGCTCACCCTACTCTTAACAATCTGTTTTTTTAATCACGAATGCTGGTACAGGCCAGGAATTCAAGCACTCTGGAGGCTGAGGCAGGAAGACTGTAAATTTAAGGTCAGTCAAGGTTACATAGCAAGATCCTTACAGAAGAAAAAAAAAATACTTGTGTTAATCAATGTCAAAAAAGTTTAAGAGGGAATCAAAGCTGAAAAGATTCTAAATTCTAGTTCCAAGCTTCCTCCACAGTCTCATGTAACTGCTTTCAATCTCATTTGCCCCTTTAAAAAGGGACCATGGGGCCAGAAGTGGTGGTGCAGGCCTGTAATCCCAGGACTCAGAAGGCTAAGGCTGAGGGTCCTAAGTTTAAAACCAGTATGAACTACACAGCAAGACATTGAAGGGACCAGCTCTGCATTTCGGGAGCCATAACAGCCGAACACATGCTTGTCTGACCTTGTCTTAGTCACTAAGAGGTCAGACACCTGCCTATTTCAGCAGCCATGGCAGTCTAACACGTGCTTGTCTGACTTTGCCTTGGTCACTAGGAGGTCAGATGCCTGCCTCGTGGCAAGGAACCAATCAGAAGTTAGCTGGTGGTGCTATGCTTTACGGCTCTGGGTGTGCTTTACAGACAAGTGCACAGCAATGACGCTCAGAGCATGGCAACCACCCTGGGAGGGCCTATGGGCCATAACAACCAGTTGACCAGTCAACACAGGGCAACCCCTCCAAGCCTGGAGACACACCAATCCGGAGCCTGTGCGTACCCCTAGACACTCCCCTTATGCCACCCTATAAGATCTCTATGCAGAAACTTTGAGCTGTCTTTCCTAGCCATCCGCCATGGTGGGTGGATGAAAGGTCCGAACTAACATGGGGTTAGCTCGTTAAATAACTATAATAAAGCCTCGTGCAGTTTGCATCAAGCTTTCGACTCCTCCTGGCTAGGCTCAGGATTGGTGTGTCTCCAGGCTTGGAGGGTTTGCCCTGTGTTGACTGGTCAACTGGTTGTTATGGCCCATAGGCCCTCCCAGGGTGGTTGCTATGCTCTGAGCGTCATTGCTGTGCACTTGTCTGTAAAGCCTGTGGGGTGACTGCAGTCTTGGGCTGAGATCCTGGGGGCCTGAGCTTCTGGGGGGGGTCTTACAACATCACCAAAAAAGGGAGGAGATGGAAGGATGGAGGCAAGGGTGGAGGGAGGAAAGGGAAAGAAAACGAATTATGAAGAAAAATGAGGGCAAATAAAGGATCGCTTATTAATTAGATTTTACTCAGAACAAGGAGAAAGTACAAGAAAGAAAACCATCATGACAAGCCATACAATCTCAATGAGCTCCAGCAAATATGACAAGACATTAACTGTTCAGTTGCCTATTTCTGGCTGCTATTTGACTATCTCACTGACAGCTGTATCACACTAGATGTGATTCCTGAGCAGAATATCTGATTAAACCATATTTAAAATGGCCCATTTTAAAATGGGCAGATTGAGGCCCACTCCTCAAGCTAATGAATTTCCTAAACAAATACTACTTTAAAACAGGGAAATGTATGCCTTTTAATCTCTGAAGTCACCATTCAACCCACAAAGTTGTTTTTATTATGTAACAAAAACATTTAGAATATATTAAGGAATTAACCATCCTTTCCAAGATTGGATGCAACAGATGTATAACAAGACAGCACCGTGTGAAATATTCGAAGCACAAATAACTTGATACTACTCAGAGACCTTAGGGAGTCAGATCTCAGGACAACTTCCCTCAACTCACTGCCAAGGGAACCTTGAAATCATACTTTGCATTTTAATAAGGGCTCTGATTTAATGACGCAGAAAATTCATTTAGAAACCTAATCTGAAACCACAAAACAGGCTGTTCTTGATATTTATGTTCTAACGATACAGAACTGAGCACTTTCCTTGCAAAGCTTCAAGGCAGGTTTTAAAACCTTTCAGGGAAGCCAGCAAGATGCCTCAACCCATAAAGGTCTGTTTCGGTCAAGCCTGAAGACCTGAGTTCAATCCTTGAGTTCCCAGGTTGGAAGGAGAGAAGCAACTCCTGAAAGGTCCCCGACCTCCACAAGTATTGTACAGACACACACGGTAAACTTAATAAAGGAAGATTTTTTTTTTTTTTTAATTCAGAGCTCACAGTCTGAAAGAGTTAACAATCATTTACTTTGACCTCTTCAACTACTGGTGTCTCAAATTCTCACCATTACACCGGCACGATGCTATGGAAATTGCTGACACAGGCTAGTCAACTGTGCTACTGAGTTTTTGTTGATACACAATCACTGCAGAGCCACCGTAAAAGCAAAAAGAAGCAGAATCACATTTTTTAAATAAAGTACTAAGTAGCAGGCACTTGTCTTAAAAATTCTGCCAAGGAAGGACCGCTGTATCTAAATCCAATGGGCAACAGACCAACAGGACACTGGATGGATGGAGTTAATGAGAAAGGTAACAATTACTCTCAACTATTGGGCATTTTAGAAAATATTTCAAAGAACAGAGTTTTAAGGAGTTTAATTATACAAAGAAAAGTCCGAACCACAGCCATAAGAGAGAAGAATTAAGTTCTAGCACACCTTAGAGCTGAAGGAAGGAGAAAAACCTTTGGAAAAACAAAACACTAGGCTCTGAAACTAAGATCTTAGCTGAAAATATTGAAGGTCTTACCTCCCACTGTAAGTGAGGCGGGATGTTTCGGATCTGAAGTTTCCGAATCCTGCAGAAGAATTAAAATGTTTTAAGGACCAAAACAGACAAAAGCAAAACACACCACACAGCCAACACAGAAGCTTAAGAAATAATTAAAATATGAATTTTAATTTAACTACACACCAAAATGTAATGAGGAAATGTAGCCCATGGAAAAGGCAAACCAACCCCAAGGTGTGCCCCGAGAACTTGGCCTTGGCACTGTTAAATGATCGATGCTTTCTAAACCACTAAAACAGATAGATAAAAGTAAATTTGTTCTGATGACTATGTGTAGCTTTAAAGCCTCCTTCCCTTATCCTCCCAGGGCACAGACAGGGCCTAAGTCCAGATGTTTTTGTTCTGAGATCACAGCTAAGGGGCTCAGAAGAACTTTCAGGGAACTTGTGACTGGAGGAAAAAGGGAAGCACACATATTTTCACTACTTCCAGACTGTAACATTCAACACATTCTTTCTTCATGCTTGTTGGTAATAAGCCATAGTACCTGTAATTCTCAAATCGATAAAAATCAGGTATTCTCATGCCACAAAAGGTGCAGTGGATCTTTTAAATATCATCTGGATTTAGTGCTGTGAAATTTACTATGCTGCCAAAACTTGTACATACATACACAATCATGCATGGGTGCACATATACAAACACACACATTCTCGGTAGACTAGCCTAGAATGACCTTGAACTCCTGAGGCCCCTGCCTTTACCTTTTGAGCACTGGGCTTACAGCTGTGGGCCAACGCATCTCCTTCATGCAGTGCTGGGCACTGAACCCAGGGCCTCATACTTGAGGAAAGTACTATCAGTCAAGATCCATTCCCTAGGCCCCCACAATTATATTGAAAAGCACATATTACTGCATCATAAGTTAACACTTTGCTAACTTTATGGGTTTGGTTATCTTTTCTGGAGACAGGGTCTCTTGCTCTGAATCCCAGACTTGCCTAGAAATTTCAGCAATCCTCTTGCCTGAGCAGGCTTGAATGAGCATACTAGGCTTTGCTAACTGTACTTTGAAACAGTTTCTTTAGCAATCCTATGCATTTAAAGACATCCTAGGACTGGGGAGATAGCTTAGTTGGTAAAGTACTTGTACATAAACATGAAGACTTGACCTCTATCTCCAGCACCCTTTTAAGAAGCTGGGTACAGTGGTGCACACCTTCAATGTTAGCATTCAGGGGGCAAATAAGGTTCTGTGATTTCATAGCCAGCACACACAGTGAACTCTAGACCAGCCAGGGCTACACAGTGAGTTCTAGACCAGCCAGGGCTACATAGCAAGACCTTGTCTCAAACAAGAAAAAAAAAATATTGAGAAAGACACTTAAGTTTGACTTTACATTCATTCACATGAACATATACACACTAATAATAATGATGACAATACCGGCGCTTGGGAGGGTGAGGCAGGAGGATTACTGTGATGGAGGCCAGCCTAGCTTCAATGTAAAACTTGAACCCAAAATAAGAAGTTAATAGGTTTCAGGCTAAGAAATCCACAGCATGGAGAACATGAGGAATCTTTACCTCTGAACCACCTGTGTGGTGGGTGAAGGGTGGAGAGGGAGACAGGACACAGACTGTGAGTCGCTCTACGGGCACCATACACCAATCAGTCTCTAGCTGCTGAAACAGCAATGCCCATCTGTAATATGCCACAGGGACACTGAAGGGGGAGGATTTTGAGGTTGGGCCAGCCTTGGTAACACAGTGACACGCGCCTCCATAAAGCCAAACAGCAGTGAGAATAATGTAGCAACTCAGTTTGACAAATCAAGAAAGTAATTCAGGGGCTGGAGAGATGGCTCTGCAGTTAAGATCACTTACTGCTCTTCCAGAGGACCTGAGTTTCACTCCTAGCAACTACATCAGGTGACTTATAACCAACCACCTGTAACTCTAACTACAGACCAGAGCCACTATGGGCACCTGCACTCATGTGCACACACTTACACATAATTAAAAATAATAAAAAAGAAACTAATTCAATTGTTTAACTCACAAAAACCAGAACCCCAATGAACTTCCCTCTCCCCATCAAACAGCCTCTGATTTTGAAGTTTTACAGCCTATGAGGTCTGAAGTAGACTGTAGTGCGCTGTCTACCTCTTTCCTTTCTCACAGAGCAGAATAAATGCCGTAGCTGCTGCCTAATCAAAGATACCAAAGGAAACACGAACTCAAATTAGACTTCCTGCTCACAATCTACGCAGAGCAAAAGAAGGGAGATGCATTCAATAGTTTTTATGACACAGTAAAACAGAAAATCAGAGAGAGCAGACTAAAATAGTGTATATAGTGTCAGTTAAGGAAAAAAATCTGAGCACCATCTAATTAGAACACACAGAGGACATGATGCTTTGTCCAAGAATGGCCCCTGTGCCGGGCATGTGAAGAAGACATGTAGTCCCAGCACTCAGGATGCTAAAACAGGAAGATCAGGAACCTGAGGTTATCTATCCTACAAAGCCAGATTCAGACTCAAGAACAAAAATCACCATCATCATCTTCATCACAACTCATGCTCACATTGATACTAATTCTGGATAAAAGGTTTAAAAATATACCCAATGGCTGGGAGATGGGTCAGTGAGGAAAGTGCCTGCCTCACACACATGGGGACCTGGAATCCAAATCCCCGAACCCATGTAAACCAGGCACGTAGCGCATAGAAGTCCAAGACAGGAAACTCCCCACATGCTGTGGTCCAGCTAGCCTGGTTTAGACAGCAGAGAACACACACCCAAAGTTGTCCTCGACTCCACGTGCACGCCTACATTCACACAAATCAACACAGTTGAGTGAGTATACCTGTGCACGCTCACACACACACACACACACACACACACACACACACACACACTAATATAACACAAGTTTTCTAATATGTTTTGGATATGTTATAATTTGCTTCATTCACACTGTAAATATTTACCCTGGGTAACCTAGAGAATATGCAGGTGTGAACTTATTTTATTCAAGCATTTGACAGGCTTGCAAGAAGAGTGAAGAAACTGAGTCTCCACCCACTCTGGACTCATTGTGGAGAGTAGACATCTCCACAAAAATTTCCCTAAAGTCAAGCCAGGTGGTGGTGGCACACACCTTTAGTCCCTGAACTCGGGAGGCAGAGGCAGGCAGGTCTCTAAGTGAGTTCGAGACCAGCCTAGTCTACAAGAGTTGGTTCTAGGACAGGCTCCAAAGCTACACAGAGAAACCCTGTCTCGAAAAACAAACCAAACTAACAAAACTTCCCCAAAGTCAATGTGCAAGTGTGCATATACTCACATTACAAAACCAAATGTCCAAGAAATTCTTTAGGGTATTATTATTGAAAAACAGCCATGTTCTCAAGAATGTTTAAAAATGCACACAGCTCTCATTTACCAACTAAATGTCCCTTTGGAATAATCATTTTCTAAATGACTGTCCAGTTTCCTAATCAACCAAAGGTTCCAACCATACTCAGATGGCAGAGAAATACTGTCTCTGCCTACTCAACCCAAACTATACTGCTCATCACATGCTAACTAGTCAGTGTCTCTGGCGTCTATCTCTAGGCCAACTTCTAGAAGGATATCCTATCTAGGTTGATTCAAAATGCTGAAGAGTCAAGTAAATACTGATGTTTACAGATGGTTTCTGCCAAGTGTGGTGATACACACCTGTAATCCAAGCACCCTGGAGGGCCCGGAGTTCAAGGTCAGCCTTGCCTATATTCAAAATTGGAAGCCAGGAGCCTGGGAGACACTTGCACGTATATAACAGTTCAGTTCCAATATAAGTTAAATAAAGTAGTGTCTCATTTCTTCTGACATCACATATTATCTTAGTTAAGATTTTTATTGCTGTGACTACAGCAACTCACATAGAAAACATTTAACTGGGGTGGCTTACAGTTCAGAAGTTTAGACCATTATCATCATGAAGTGTGCAGGCAGATGTGGTCCTGGACCTGAGTGTGCTACATCTTGACCAGAAGGCAGCAGGAAGTTGACTCATATTCATACTGAGGGAAGCTTGAGCAAAAGAGACCTCAAAGCCCGCCCCCACAATTACACACTTCCTCCAACAAGGCCACACCTCCTAATAGTGCCACTCTCTTTGAGGGCCATTTTCTTTCAAACTACCACACACACAAATCACATACATGAGATATGGGATAACAGGGTTATCTTGGGTGTATAGAACAGTGCTTGGCAACAGGTAAGTACTCAACAGGTTTAAACTTAAATATTTAGTTAACAGAAGGGAAACGAAAGAGGACTGCCTGTAATCCCAGGCAGGAGACAAAAGCAGGACGCATAGAAAATGTGAGGCCAGCCTGGGCCACACAGGACACTTTCCAGACCAACCTGGGCTATGTATTCAAAACACCAACAAACTCCAAAATAGGAAGAAAAACATAAGAGAAACAGGATTTGGCATTTATGTTGACTTTCTTAAATCTTATACAGAAGGAAAAAAAATCACCACATTTAGTACAAGAATGAAAACTAGAAAAAAAAAACCACTCAATTATTTAAATACACAAATTATTAAAAAAAAAAAAACAAAAAAGGGATTTCTCCCAGAGGAAAATGGGTTTTAAAAACACCTACTTCTGCAGAGCTGGGACTTGACTTGTTGCACTCACTGCAGGGCACACACTTAGCCTGCCCAAGGCCCTGGCTCCATCCCTCCAACTGGCGAAAACATCCATATACTGAAATGTTTGCATGGAAATTCAACTAGTAATGTATCTTTTAAAAAACAAGTTTAATCAAAGGAATTCTAAACAGCACCTTCAAGACCCTTCGTTAACTGATATGATTTTATGCAAATTTTCAAATTGACTCTAAGTTCTTTTTCATGGTGACTCCTAGGCAGTTGGCTGTCAAGATACCACAGGCTGTCAGAAGCTCACTGAAGACAAACTTTGTAACTCCACACATTCTATGAGGAGCACATGGCCACAGGAGTGGCTGCTCTGGTGAACAGTGCAAGAGTTACGAGTGGGGATTAGTA